GCTCACCACACCCTGGTGGGTCTCCAAGTGGCTCCACCGATCCGGCAGACTCTTTGGCTCTCTCTCTCTCTCTCGTGCGTTTTGTTAATTTGAATGGCCTATTTATACAAATTAATTATAAATCGAATAAACCCGGGAGCCCGAGACCACAAACTCCAAGAGAAGAATGCCTAGGGAAATTCTCCGCGAACGTCCTCTACTATGGACTCGCATTTGGCTCTTCTTTTTGTTGCTGTCCCTGGCTGTGTCCCCAATCCCCCCTCCAATCGAACCGCCGTGTGCCAACGCAAAGTGTGAACCTCCTAAAATTAGAAGCACTTTGAAGTTTCTGTTGTGGTTGCATATATTTTGTTCTCTTCACTCTTCAAAGAGGCTAGTCTAGGCGTAGTACCTAAAGCATTACAAATTTTTGGAGAGAAGCTAGGCCCAAACCTACGAAAACTTTCACACCCGTCCCAATGGAGACAGCGACACCCTCTCTTCTTTTGACATGTCTTTGTTAGACGTGGTCTCACGCCTGGCCTGGCCGAACAACTCTTTGGCTTGGCCATTAATCGCAGCGAAAATGGGAGAGCGATACCCCCTTAAAAGTGCGCTTTAATGGGAAAAATAACCCGATTTGCAGTCAAAATATGTCAAATATGAATGGAACGGATCCCTAAGACTTGCAGACTTCTGCAGACCTTAGAGCGGAACAGGTAACGTTTGGTTACCTCCAGTTACCAAGCAAACATTTTAAAGGGTATGAATTGGTCGTACCACGATGGCACGGAGCTATTCTCTTCGGTTGGCAAAATTCAATGTGTGGATGATGTAGTGTCCGCTGCGGTTGAGTGAAAATACCTGTGAACCAACTCCAAAATACAGTAACAATAACAAGGGAGACACGAAGAGCCGAAAGAAGAATTTCGAGAGGGTTTGTACAGATCATAGACTCTGAGTTTCACCTTTGTGGTATTTGGGTTGGGTTTCAATTCGCAAAATGATTGTGGAGATCTATCAACTCTAAAACTCTTTACATCTGATCCGATAGGTCTGAAACTCTCCTCCCAAATAATCTACATTGGCAAATGTATTTAAATTTAAGCTAAAACGTAATTGATTTTATTTTCCTCAAACTTTGGTTCGTCATCCCCCAAGAGTATAGCCAGAAGAAAGCGTATGTTCCTTATTTATGCTTGCTCAGCATCAATGGGCGCGTCGATATGGCCATTTCCGTCAGAGACTATAAGACCTAGAGTGCAGACTCCTGAGATATCACAATGAATCAAGTTGAAAACTGAAATCGCAGCATAATAGAGAGTACGTGAGTTGGCGGCCCAAAACGTTTCGACTGCTCTCATCCAAGAGGGCCATAACGTTTCAGGCGGCTTTCTTGAAGATGGTTTTCCTCAATGATTTAGCCAGAGACTTTATAGCAAGAGATCGGAAGAGACCTTTGGTCTGCCAAAAACATCTGAGATTTAGTTTAAGAAACTGTTCCATCTAGGGTGTGATCTTCTGTCGCTTGTGAGCTTTATTGTGACCATTGAAAAATATCACAATATTCGTTACACTTTTTGGAATAAATTGCGGTTTTTACTTGGCTTCGGAAAGATAGGCGTAAAAAGTTACGCTCCACCAAATACACGATACAAAACGGTACGTATTCAAATTAGATGTCTTCGGCGGTACGAGACCATCCATCCATCCGGTCCGATTTCCGATTCGATTCATACATAAATCTTAACTTCTCCTCAAACGTGTGCGATAATAGGATTTACCAAAATATTCAATTTCCGATGAGCAGTAAGAGAAATTCACAGATGTCCAGAGAGCTCTTGTTCTCCTTCCTCCCATAGTGGCCAGAAGTGTTTGTGCTTCTGTCTCTCTCTTATGAGCAGCTCCTGCAACCATTGCGCTCTCCCGATGCGCTCTCTTTGCGGGTCTTATTTTACTTAGCCCAACAGCTAACGAGTAGCACCTGTCCGCTTTAAAAACTGCTACTTCCTCGCTATCAGATAAAGATCATATGATAGTTCTTGGCGACTTCAAGAATCGGATCCGACCCTAGTGCTGTTGGCCCCCTGACGACTCCTACCATTCGACTTTCGAAGCGTCGCTCGACATAGGAACTGTATTGGATCGGTCGGGTAGGCTTGACACATTTTTCTTTTTTTTCTTCCCGCCTTCCTGTTCGATTAAATCTGAGAAACCTCCGTGGTCCACCAAAGAGTTGGCCAGTCTGAAAAACTTAAGAAAAGGAGAAAGAAGTCATGGCGTAACGAATCCAGTTGCCTGGATGGGAGGGGGCTATGTGGGTCCCATAGGTGGCTGTGGTGATCACCAGAATGATCCATCCATCTTCATTATAACGATGATGTAATGGCTAATTTGTGGCTCTGTGTGTTGACTCATCTCGGACGACCAACCATTTATTTGTTTATCTAAATGCTCGCAATTAGAATTCATTAAAATGTTCCTATTTCCGTCATAAATGTATATCAGGGAAAAAGTATTCGTCCAAACGATGAGAAACGGTGTTATGCGAGGCGGCTCTTTCGGCGTTTCGTCGTTTCGGCAATCTGCCATGCCACTGAAGCCAACTGTTAATTGTCGGAAAGTAATGAATAATGAATAATGAATTGTGGCAACTTGCTCCACATCAGACACGTAGTGCGTCAGGGTCAGCCACAAAGCTCCCGAAACAACAGAAGAAACGCCACAATGTAGCGATATTCGAAAGGTATACGGCATACATTGGTAGCCTCCCTTAAGCTCTTCCCGATCAGCAGGAAATCTTCTATGGCCCGTGCACAGTGTGTGCAGAACGGATCTGTCTCCCACTAAAACCGGATAAGTCGGATTTACGGCACTCATGTCCTTCTAAAAGCTACGTGAGATAAAAGTTGGCTTCTCCGATAGGTTCACCCTTTTAGTGCCCTAGGTCCGGAACAGTACGTCGGGTCCATATGGTAGAGAGTATGCCAAACCGTGTTAATAAATTCATATCTTTTAAGGTCTAAGGACAAAGTATTCGGTTTTAGCTGACGAAAGTCAGTGATGTAAGGAGTGTAGTCGTATATAAGGACTGAGTATCGGGTATGACAGTAGAGCCGCGGGCCTAAGCGCTGCCCACAAAGTTCCAGACCGTTAATAGAGTATTCCCAATCTTTTTCCCTTAGCTACCACGGCAGACATAGAGAATTTCGTCCCCAATTTTCCGTTCCAGCTCATGTTTTGTAGGCTTTGGATTATTCCCAGCATGAAACGCCACTCCATATGCAGATCCGGAAGGCAAGGCGACCGGTTAAAGACACGAGAGTTATCATTATCCCTCTCTTTATAGTATCATATTTATCAGACTCCAAGACTCCAAGACTCCGAGACCCCAAGACTCCAAGACTCCAAGATACTTGTTGGGGGTTCGTTGTGTGTTCGCTTGCGATAAATGCTCGGTCAGCCGGAACATTTCATCTTTATTGGAGATGAAGGGGAATATTTTATTATTAATGTGCTTGTGTTAATTGCCCAAGGCGATGAAGGCGATTCAGATGGAGAGATTGTGAGATGGAGATGATGTCTGTTGCAGTGGAAAGCCAGCTGTGGAATCCAAACAGAAAAATTAGCTATGAAAACCGCCGCTTGATAGACTTGATCACGGCACAAGGAACTTAGGAACTTGGGATGGGTTTGGCTTTATTATGGATGGGCACTTCTAGAGACCTCTGGAAGCATTGTTATGGCCTTCAGTCCATCTAGTGTCCAGGTGGGCTCTCCCCTTCGATAACAACGGCTTTCCCCAATGCACTGAAAGCTTTCTCTGGATGCTCCTCAATGCTCAAAGAATCTCAACAGAGGGGAGAAATAAGTCTTTGGGCAGCAGATCGAAGTTTCGATCAGCAAATATGCGCATGTCACGTTCCACTTTAAGATGTTCAAAATAAAATACTGTCAGTATACACACACACAGACTAACACACAAATGTTCCAAGAACGAAATACTAACATTATCATCTCATTTTTAGAAGTGAGTAGCGCTCGGCATCTGAGTATTTGTGTGTGTATCTGTGTATGTGACCCAAATTCTGGGGGGAATGTCATCAGCATTTTTGATGTTTTGATGTGTCAATGTTACTTCATAAAAGTGTTCCACTTGGCGTTTCCGACTTAGATTAGTTTCGTTCGCTCGCAGACTCACAGAGTCTGTAGTTTTTTGTTCGCTCCAAAACTGTTGCCCACACGAGAAAATATATGGCATATATCTATACTCGTATATTAATATGCACGATCATTGAAAAATGTACTCGTCCACACATTTGTAAATGCATGTGTGTGCGATAAATGTATATGCCGTCCGCGGCACTTAACGAGCAAGAGCCAGCCCATCGCTAGAAATATATGTAAATTTATTATACTCGGTACTCGAAAAATGTATAGGGGTATATTAGGTTCGTGTAGGTGTCGTTTGCCACCCCATAAGGTCCATCCCAACATACTGACGGCCTGGAGAAGCCCTTCACTTTCACGCCATCTAGCGGAGTGAGCGAGATACAACGACCGGAGAGAGAATGTTCCGTACTTTGCATACTTTGTAGTCTGTAATTATCAGAATAAAATTTACTAAAAACACACTGGAAACACCCTATTTTTGTGGATACACTCCCCTTACCACAGCCAGGCCTTACCCCTAGCCAGCACCACGGTTGTACCCTGCGTGTTGTCACGAACAATTTATGCGCTCTGCTTGTTTCGTACATTTCTCATCTTGTCTTGTCCATTTTTAATTTTTGTTGGCTTGCCTTGGGCTTTTGGTTTCTCGCGTCTTCCACGCCTTCCCAATGCCATGAATACTATGTACTTATCAGAATGCTTCAGCTGCATCTTGAGCAGTGCTTTGGTATTATTTTATAGATAAAAACAAATCAATCTGTCCTTTTTGCGAGGACTCGCAACGTTTCGACTGCCTTTTCGCTTACCTTAAACGAAACCTAACTCCAAGTTTATTCTGTTCTCTTCAGAATGTGGTGGACCATCACTGGAAACTTTGGAAACATTCTGCCAATCGACTGGTCCAAGTCGTATACCCGTCAGATGCACATGCCCACACTCAACCTGGGCCAGAATCACACAAAGCAGCAGCAGCAGCAGCAGCATCAGCGCAATCAGCACCAGCTCCAGAAACACCAGCACTCGTATCCACACACTCCAGGCGGCGACGAGTTTAACGATCTGGCCAGCGAGGACGAGGCGGTAGCTAACGACTTGGACATGCACGCGCTGATCCTGAACGGCCTGAACGGGGACATCGACGACCAGCCCATCAAGACGGTCGAGGAGGTCATCAAGGAGATTGACGACATCATGGACGAGGCGGAGAGTCCCTTGGATGAGCCCGACACCTGCGAGTCGGAGGTCATAGAGAAGGCTCGCGAAGTGCTTGGGGCGCCCCTGTACGCAGAAAGTAGGAACACAAATCGAAGTCAATTTGCTTGAAACTAATGTATATGAATTTCCAAAAATTTCCAAAAGAGCTGCAATATCTCAGCACAACACAGTTGAACGAGCTGTACATGGAGATGGAGGTGCTGATCCAGGAACTGAGCGAGACCCTGATCAACGAGCTGGCGCTGCGCGATGAGCTCGAGTACGAGAAGGAGCTAAAGAACTCATTCATCTCCCTGCTGCTGGCCGTGCAAAACAAGCGTCGACAATACCACGTTGAGAAGAAGCGTGGCAAGTTCCAGGGTACGTTACGGACACCTTTTTGTCCTGCCACTTGTGCAGTGTAGGGAGATACACAGCCCATACACAGCCGAAAGCGTTTCCAACTCATTTTTGTGGCCTTTAAGTAGTATTAAGAGTCCCCCTCTTTGGAAAACTTCAGATCCATCGTTCCCATGTTAGCTTTAGAGTTTGTTACGTCTAGAGTTTGCTCGTCTACGAGATAACTGGTAAAAAACTATTGTTAAATACTAGATATCTGCATGGCTCCATTCGAGACGTATGTAAATCCAATAGAATGCATTCGAATTGAGTTGAGCTGCGTTTCACAGACCTCCGGCATTGAGTGGTATGAGTTAGAATGAAGGGGTGCACAAAATGAACTGAAAGACAGACGAATTACTCGAATTTTTGTGAGCGTACTCGGGGTATACTCACAGATTCACACTGATTGCTGTCCAAATTTGCACGCAGAAAACAAAGCCCTCACTCTCACTGATTCAAGTCGTGCCGCTTATATATATATGTATATTATTCTTACTTGCTAATAACATTGATTGACGTCTACAGGTCCCGAGCCCAAATACTTGACCACTGTTATTCCGTATCACCTGGAGAATGGTACGCCCAACAATCAGTCCCTGCAGGTCCTGATTAAGAGTAAGTTCAAGAGAGCACAGTAATCGTTGCAGCATTCCTTTAATGATTCTCCCTCCCGCAGTACTCAAGGCCATAAATGAAGACAGCCCCACGGTGCCGGCTCTTCTCACGGACTACATACTGAAGGTTCTCTGCCCCACATAAGCGATGCAACTGCTAAGGAACCCAATCTATCGCTTTATCTCTCTGTCTGTGTTTATACAACTATACCGTAAATCTATATACATACATACGTGCATATAAATATTATAATTTAACGATTAGATTTTATTCTAAACGATTATTTTAATTGCTATCCGTTTCTGCAAACACTTTCTCAGCCAATGAAAATGCTTAGAAGATAGCCGATGAGATTTCCATATATAGATCAAATATGTAACAAATATGTAACACATGTAACACATACATACATACATATATAGACGTAAATATCGAATTAAATATTTGCGGAAAGTGTGCTAGACATAATTGGCCAGTCCTCGCCACGGCGACTATTCTCACTTCTCTCGAATTGAATCCGCTTGGAATCCTCTACAGCCAGTAATATTTACACTAAATCGAGTCATATTGTTAGAGAGCAGATTCCAACTAAGCTTAATATATTTACAAATATACACAAATGTATCTTTATGTCTAAGGAGGGGAGTGGCAAACTATCTCTATTTCACAGATTGCACAGATCACAGAGATCGCAGAGATTGCAGAGATTGCAAAGAGGATGTATATACTTATAAACTTATTGCTTAGTTCATATTGATTCTCGTTGTATTGATCGATCCAAGCGGGACTCTCGTTGTCCGGCAGCAAATCCCTAGCCTAGCTTGTACCATATGTAACTTATATGTATAGATTGTAAGTTGTGTATGGCCGCAGACCTCTAGCTGGACAGGGACCTTTCCATATGCCGCCGATTCCACATGTGTTCGTCGTGAAATTATATAAACCTTAGCGTCAAATTTGCATCGTTTGAGACGGGATTTAGGCTCAAGAGATTGTTTTCGCATCAATTTATGTTTTTATATACATTATTTAAGCGTTTTTGTTTTTTTTTTTTTGCTCATGGCCATAAAACGCGTTTTGTTTTGTTCCAAACAAAAGATATGAAAGGGATTAATATAATTTTAATTTGCATAGGAAACGCTGTGTTATTTACTTTTACCAAGCAAGCATAAATACAACTAATAAATAAATAAATAAAAACTACAAATAAAAACAAAAGAAAGAAAAATGTAGTTAAAAAGTCAGTCTGGCTCATAGTACTGTTATTTTTATTACGAGGCCTATTTTTTCTTCTTTAATTATTAAGCTACTTTCACACAAAACAAAGAATCCAAAACAAAAAATATATGAATAAATAAAAAATACAATTATATAAAGGTGGCATCGTCAAGTCCAACAAGAACAACATTTATATCATGTATTACATTTCACGAAGAGTAAAAAAAACCAAAGATAAAATAAAACGGTGACAGAATCCCCATTGGGGCTCGCCGGAGCTTGTCCACAGTCTTCGGTAGAGGACGCCAGTCGCTATTGAGCATCGTTCATTGTTCTCGGAGAGAGGAATAATTCAATACATCACATCTAATGCAAATCTTAGGTACCTTTGTTAGTAAACAATATGCATAAATGCCTATATATATAGATATATACAAAAATGACAAACACACAGAGAAACTACATAAATGTTTAAGATTCTATATAAACCTATGTATATGTGAACAATACATACGTACATATGTTGTCACGCTTTATAATAATAAAAGAAAAAACAAAAAGCAAACGAATGGATATTTACTAAATTGCACGTGGAATATGGCTCTTCTTCTTGGGTCGCCACTGTTGCTCCGCATGCGAAAATCAAAACGAGCAAACAAATTTCAAAAATTACTATTCTACCTGGTACTCAGTTCGGTAAGGTCTTAATATAACTTAATTTACTTTGATTTTAAGACCTATTAAAAGCATCAAACGTTATTTTTTCGGTCTTTCCCTTATGATTATCTTCTAAAAGAATGATGATTTATGATAAAAGTTCTTCCACAAAGACTCTTCCACCTTAAATTACTTAAAGAAATCATAGAAAAATGGCCCTGTCTCGTCTAACGGCTTAGTACTGTAAATATTGCCCCAATTTTCACTGAAATCGCCGTTACGCCACTTCTCGCCACTTCAGATCTTGAAAACGAAAAATTGGCAACATTAATCTTAGCACCAAGCAACAATTATGGGCCTTATTAGGAATTATATTTTCCATTTCCATCCATTGATAATACCATATATTTTGCTCGATGTTACACTGTTATGTGTTTTTATACAAATAAAATCAGTTAAAAATGGAAATTTTGAATGACAGTAAGCCGGAATGTACTATTTATGGGCGCTGTTGGAGTAGAAATGAAAACGTGTTTTTATCTAATTATTAAACAATCAAATGACTACCGAGTATAGAGTTAGTAAGTTTTAAAATCCATATAATCGACTTTCATTTGACTGAGTTAACGAGATTAAATTTGTCTTTTTGAATTTAGCCGGCTGGCACTTTCTCGCTAGTTTGTCTCCATTTTTTTTGTGCCTGCTTTTCTTTCTGTTGACGAAAGATAGAATATTTCTACATTCTGACCGTGCCCAGAATATACACTTTTTGCTTTTTCAGTATGTATCGTTGCCTTTCCAGTATTAATCGGCTATTTATTTGCTGATCGTAGTACTCGTCAGCAAAACGCCTGCTGCAAAGGTTTCCGTCGATTGAAATACAGGCATGCATTTTTATCGTTTACAAATGAATATCATCCCTGATTCGATGGTAAATTTGGCTGATCAGAGTACCATGCTTTGGCCCATGGTCAAAATAAAAATCCGTTTCTTAGAGCGCATCATTGTGCGATTCAATAGTAAATAGTTTCATAATGCGCTGTTACACGCATTGAGGGTAAATTTTTTTACTGTGCTGGTTAGTGCCTGTCGTTTTTAGTAACCTTCAACTCTGTACATTGCATTTTGTGCTGTTATTGGCGTTCCGAGTGCTGTTTGGCGCAAATGGTGTTAATGGCAAAAAATTTTGCGCTCTATGGCCGATAGCTATCGATAGGCAAGGCTGTCGATAGTTTCCATCACTACGACTAGCCTAGCCTATCCATAGTTTTTTTTTTGTATCCAAATCCAACCGTAAAATAAGTTTAAACAAATCATATAGACATAAGTTTCATTTTTTTTCCTTTGGTGTACCATTAATTTATTTTTTAAGTGCGCATTCAATAAGAAAATGTCATCGCGAAGGTAAATCCAATAAGAAATACGACCATGTACTTACACACACACCCGCACGCCCTCACGCATACACAGGCGAGTGTGCATGGCATATGTACACACGTTACACTCGCCGTCTCCACCGCCCAGGGCCCAACACATTCGTTCACACGCACACTGGAACGCACACACGGCACACGCTCCCAACTGGGCTATTTACATATGTATAAGTATATACAAAAGGCAAAAAGAAGCAGAAACAACATTTTTGAGATAAAAAGTGCAACAAAGTGCAAGAGAATTGCCTCCCGCCCCATCATCAGCAATGGGAAAGAAGCAGGGGCATCCCAATGAACTGTTACTCTTACAGCTGTTGCTGGGGCTGGCGTGGGTCCGACACGGTTTGGGGTACTGAATCGAATCAAATCGCCCATGTAGTGAGATTGGGGAAGGGAGTGAGAATGAGGTTTGATGGAATAGCATGTACATATGTATGTATGTAGATACAATATTATTCAGGATATGAACGATCAGCAGTAAATAAACAAACGACTGACTCTTTCACCATGCTGATCCTTTGTTTGCCCGCGCAGATGGTTCCACCCAACGATATCTGGCATCGAAGCTGAGAAATTGCTACAGGAAGAAGGTTTTGATGGCTCGTTTCTTGCACGTCTCTCCTCCTCGAATCCAGGCGCCTTCACGCTCTCCGTTCGCCGTGGCAATGAGGTTACACACATCAAAATCCAAAACAATGGCGACTTCTTTGATCTCTATGGCGGTAAGTGGTATCCTCCAAGTGCTATCAAAGGAATTTTCTAACCTTCCCCGACCTTGCAGGTGAAAAGTTTGCCACACTGCCGGAACTGGTACAATATTATATGGAGAATGGGGAGTTGAAGGAGAAGAATGGCCAGGCCATTGAGCTGAAGCAGCCGCTGATATGTGCAGAGCCCACCACGGAAAGGTGAGTCCCAGTTACATACGTTCTCTTACATGGTATGGTATGGGCTTTGGAACTACACCTGTGTGTTTTTGATCACCGAAGTAATGTGCAGATGTTGCCCCTGCACCCAATACAGTGCCTATGACAAAAATACTGTGAGTCCTGGGCGAACTCTAATGGTTCCTTAATGTGCGTCCGCGCAAGGCAGATGCTCAACAATTTATTCAAAATATTTAAATGCAAAATGATTTATGTACATATCTACATATACATATGTATATTCCGACTAACGCCTAAATGAAATATATATTCAAATGCAAATGGGAAAGCCTCTCCCCCAGCTTTTCATAATTGATATCGATGATTTGTGCAGGGCCGTGACCATCCATCCCTTTCAAGTGATTTGTTTTTGATTTGCTTACGCCTCTTTTTCTAGGGCCCGTCCTAATCTGACAGCGAACAGCTGTTCTGTGAGAAATTTCAATTATACTTTGATGCAATTGTGTCACGCGTCTTCGATCTGTGAAATCGGATACGATACTCGTACTCGTAGTCGTAGTCGTATTCCGGAGTAAATAAACACTTGACGAATTATTTACTATGTTGTTTATGAACGAAAAGACGCACACACACACACACATGTCCACACATGTATGGCAGACGACTCGCTTTCTGCTGATGCGCCCGCTGTTATGTGCACACACATACATAAGTGCGCATTGCACTTAACAGTTAATAACTGTTAATGCAATGCTGTCCATGGACTGTTGTTGATGCACGTTTGCTAATGGGTTTTCTGGCTGTTGCTCAGGAACTTGTCGAATTTATCGTAGGTGTGTGCGGCTTTCTGGATTCAATTTGAAATCAAATCATGATAGAGCTTTTTTTTTTTAATTGTATTTAATTGTATGTTTTAAGCTACTTTAATTACTCTGTGGAACGAAATCGAATCGAAACCATATATTTCTGATAGACTAGGGGCTCTAAAATTTATAGACTAGGAAGGTTTTTTTATGGATAGGGTTTGTTTGGTTAAATTTTTTTTTTACATACAACAAATTTTTGATGAACTTTGCAATTATGGTAAAGATAGTGAATGTTGTTATTAATCGGCCTATTAAACGTTGAAGCTTCAGCTTACCGTCTGGGAAATATTAAGCTTTCAAATGCAAATTTGATACTCTTTTAATAAATAAAGTCGAAGTTTCTATAAAACTTTACATTTGATACCTTAAGATTATCCAGATTGCATACTTTCGTTGGCTGTTCAGCTACAATGATCAGAAATCCCCTACAAGAGGCAAGCAAAAACCATTTTGCTCCTGCTGCAGATTTGAAACAAATTTGTAATTTGGAGACCAGGTTTTAAGACGTTCGAAGAATTAGAGAGATTATAATTAACTGGTTAAAAAACCAGGGATGTCCAGGGTTGGACTTTTCCAGGCAAAACTTAAATTGACTGGAGGAATATTTTGTTGTTAGACGAGTCCAAGACTTTTTTTTTTTTGGTCGTGGATGCCGTTAGTATGATAGATTACCGTGGTTATCTGAATTCTCTACAAAATATACTTTCAAAACTGTTAAACACGGCGGTTCTTCAAAAATTCGTGGGTCCGTTGTTCGATCATTCCAGCAAAAAA